AATCAAAGAATCTCTCTGATAAAGTTCAGTTCCAAAGCTGTGCCACATAGCATATAGGTTTTTTTGGCAGATATTAGTTTGATTTCATGTCGTTTTTAGGAGAGAGCTTTTTCTCAGTTTCTCTTCCTGGTTCTTTAGTAAGACCAAAATAATATTAGAAATTGTGAAAATTTATTTGGGCATAGTGGTGCATGCCTGTGGTTCTAGCTACCAAGGAGGCTGATGCAGGAGGATTCCTTGAGCCCAAGAGTTTGAGACCAGTGTGGGCAACATAGCGAGACCTTACCTCTAATTTAAAAAATAGTGGTAGAAATTTAGAAATGTAAATTCTCTTTCTCAGAATCTGTATTATTAAGGGATGCCAGTGTGTTTTCTAAGTTATTTCATTAAAAGTATACTTTAAATTCTTCAACTAAATGAAGAATGCAGTTTTTACCCCAAGTAAATGACCAGTTTTGGAAGCAGAGACTCTTAATAAGCATATGGCAAGATTTTAATTTCAGAATTTTTAAATTGCAGTTTTTAAACATACTGTTCTAGGATCTATGATCACATTTGAAAATTTTAAATTTCAGAAGATTTTGTATTTAGGTATTTAAATAATCATTTTGAAGCTCTTGCATCACTATGAGATACTGCAGGTTAGAAAACACTTGTGTGCATCCTAGTGTAACCAGAATACAGTCTTGCCTGTAAAAAGCATTTTAAGAGGTTTTCAATGTGAATAAATAAGCGGACAAATGAATTTTTATGTAATGGAATATTATAAGTAAGATAATATGCATAATATATCTTATAATTAGATCTAATGCATTTCTAAAATATGGCTTAAATTTACATTTTAGTATTTAGAATGCATAAATTCATGTAAGTTATCTTGAGAAAATATGTCTAAAATAAGAACAATAAATCAGAGACATGTAGTAAATAGGAAAGAAGTTTACACTATGTTTTCTAGTATCCTCCAATGGAGTTTAGATTTAAAAAGTTTTAATATATTTTAGTCCCAACTTATGGTTTTGTTTGTTTGTTTGTTTGTTTGAGATGGAGCCTTGCTCTGTCATGCAGGCTGGAGTGCAGTGGCGCGATCTCGACTTACTGCAACCTTCACCTTCTTGGTTCAAGCAGTTCTCCTCCCTCAGCCTCCCGTGTAGCTGGGACAGCAGGCACATGGCACCATGCCCAGCTAATTTTTGTATTTTTAGTAGAGACAGGGTGATGGTCTCGATCTCTTGACCTCATGATCCAATCTCCTCGGCCTCCCAAAGTCCTGGGATTACAGGCGTGAACCACCGCTCCCAGCCGAAACTCATGTTCTATTAAGCATATCTTTTCAAGGAGTACATTATTCTAAAATTCTGATTACCAATACTTTCTTCAGGTGAAAAGTTTATGAAATATTCCTTTTTAAGTTTTTTCTCTCTCTGTAGTAAGAATGTTCTCGCTTTTAAGTATTGGCTGAAGATCATGTTTAACTAATTGTCTTATTATATAATATTAAAATTAAAATCTTTCTTACACAGGTATTAACAAAATAACCAATTGTAGTGTAAATACCGATCAGCAATATTATTAACAAAAGGCTGTATTTTGTGTATTTCATCACATGTCTTATATAGTAGCTGTTTTTCCTTTTCTTTCATGACTGAAGCTCATACTTGATTGACTGATCATGTCTCTTGTTTGTTTCTCCCTCCTCCGTCACCTTTTAAAAAATGATTTACCCCAGACATTTCTCTCACAGAATACATTTCTTCAGTGTCTGCTTTTTAGGGCATCTCTGTCTCAATTGTTAGCATATTTATTTACAAGTTTCTATTTAGTTGCTATGTATGATTTTCATTAATCAATCACACCCCCCCCCGATTTATTCTTTTTTTCTCTGTTTCGTGGAAGAATCAGAATTTATACAATTATTTATACTTAGCATTTTGCCACATGGAATAGGAACAACCTGTACCATTTCAATGCAAACCCAGTTAAATAAGGTACTATTAAAAACTAAACTCTCACATTTTTCCACACAAGAGGTAATTAATACAACTGTAAATTGTGAAGAGATATTTCAAAATATAACATGTAATTTTTAAATTTTAATTATTTCTATAATACTACAAACTGTGGAAGAGTACATTTTTGTCCTAGATTATTTTGGTTAAAAAATAATCTAATGGATACCACCATGTTTGTATAATAATAAATTAGATGAAGGCGATGATAGGAATTAATTGATTGAAGAAGGGTAAGATAAACATAGAGATTACATGAGACAGGATGAGACAGATTCTTATAAAAACACAGCAAAAACTGTGGATTAAATGAGAGCAGGAACTCTCTAGAATAAAAGATAGGATACAAATTATTTAAAACAAAAATTAAGAAAACATTGCCAGCTAATAAAATGTAGCTCAGGTGTCCTTGAGTGACTTATAGCAGATTTTAACAAAAAGCCGACAGAAAATATAAGGATGAGTATAGGTAAGAGCAATTTGTTGTACACTTTGAAATACCTAGCGGGGAATAATTTGAATGTTTCTAACATAAAGGAAAAATAAATACTTAAGGTGATTAATATCTCAATTATTCTGATTTGATTATGCAAATATATTAAATGATAACATACACCCACAAAACAAGTACATTTATAGTGTGTCAACAAAAATTATAAACAAGGAACAAAAATTTAATTTTTACTTCTTTTAGTAACTTTATGTTTTATATTTAATCTAGTCATACTTACAATAATGCAGAATGCAAAGTGAAATCTGTTTTAGGCCTTGTTAACTTTATTGTGAATTATTACTTTTTGATTCTTTAGCTTCTGGTTTTAAGATTTCTAACTTAATATTTGATGTATTCTTAGATTATTTAACTAATTTATCTTACTCTTTGATATAACCGTGGTCGCTGTTTTGAATATTTTTGATAATAGAGTATAAATAAATAAGCATTTTATTTAAGCTTGTTATTAAAATTAAATTTTCTGATCATATGAACAAGGGTCTTAATCTGTATATCTTAAAAGAGAAAAATCACTTTTAAGCTACAACACTCTCAATGAAATAAATGTAGAAATTATTAATCTCTAGAAATATTCTGACATCTTTTGCTCATAATATCTGTAGGTAATGGTATTATATGCACACATCAACTGAATGTAATCAATATTTGTGAATTTTTTTTAAAGTACATATTATAAAATGATATGTAAGGGAAGATTGTTAGCATAGTAAACAAACTTATCATTGGAAGAATACTTTTTACTCTTAAAAATATCTCTTGCAATGGGGATATTTTATATTCTTTCCAGGAAGCCTTATTAACTTTAGTCTTCATAACTATTACACCTTGCACATATATTTGTTTGTTTCTAAAACTCAGGAATCCTGTCGACTTGAATTTTTTTTAGTTTCTTTCTTCACTTCTCCTGTGAATACTGAATCCTGCTTGACAATCATAGATATATGTAAAAACTATGAAATCTTCAACTTGAATAATTATTGCTTAATTTTCTTTATATGAGATATTTCCTCCAATTTTAAACTACCATTTTTTATGGTGTCAATAGGCAATTTGACCGAGTGTTATATTGTTTACAGGAACATAAGAAAAGCATGTGATTTTAAACCAGGGTTTCACATTTCTATCTCACTTTACAGTAGTACTTAAAAATGCCTCAATTCTATGGGTAAGTATTTCTCTTGTACAATTAAAAATTGCAAGGTTTTTATAAAGGTCGTTTTGTAGAATCTTGTTTTAAAATTAAATGTTTTCATTCAATTCAAAGATGCCTATTGCAATAATATTTCAGAAATATTTACCTATATAAATGAAATTATATTCTTGAAATAAATTTGAAAATATATAACTGAGAGATTTAAACCCATGTTTTTCTCTCTCCTTTTGATTTCATTTTCAAAATTTCAGCAGTCTGCATAGATCTGTGTTAATTCTACCCATTTAGTCTATCTTACAAATATTTATTTTCTCATCACTATGTAATTTTCCTCATGTAGGTAATCTACTCATACTCCAAATGTATTTATCCAGATATTTCTTCCAAGCCCCTTGGATGCCTGAAATCTTATAGGTCTCAAACTGAAAACATCATTTTTTTTTTTCCTGACTTTTTTCTGATCTGTTGTAATCTACTCTGTCATCTAGTTTCCCCATCCTAGTAAATAACACCTAGGAAGTAGCCATGAAATGCCCAAGCGCTTCAACTGGCACTTCAACTGTCCCCCACATCCTGCACTTCAACCCTCCTCCAGGTCACCAATCCAGTCACACACCAAATTTTGCATTATCTATCTTCTTATAATTTTCCATATCTTATTCCATAATTAACTCTCTATCTATAATTTTGAAGTACTCCTTTCTACTTTTGCCCCATCTCCCCATGTTCATCTTTACACCACTGGAAGGGTCACCTTTCTAAAATATATTTGTAATGATGTAACTCATCTGCATATTGAGTGGATACCTGTTACATGAAGTGGTAATTTCACATTCCAGTGTGACACATATCGTGTATGGTTTGGCCCCATTTTATCTCTTCAATTTATTTCCTCTGACTGTGTTCCAGTTTTACCACATAACTTTGGCATCCCTCAGTTGCCATGTTGTTTCATGCCTTATTATTTTGCACATGCTATTGCACCAAGAGTCTTTGTATCCTCACTCTGCACTTCGTCTGTCCTTCCAAATATGGTCCCATTATGGCAGCATTTTCTATGCTTTTCAGGTAAAACTGATTTTTCTCTCCTTTTTGCCCTTATGTATTTTAATGACTTAAATTGTAAAACTGGTGAAATATACTTTTCTGTTCTTATTTGTTTTCACATAGCTCTACCATTTCTTGAATATAGGCCAGAATCTATCTTCCATGGATATTTTCTGCTTCTCCCAGAATAGTGCCTATGATTTGATAGATACAATGTGTGTCTTTGTTGTTGTTGTTGTTTGTCTTACTGACAAATTGAGTGAGTGACTGAGTTAATAAACACAATTTTTTCTGAAGTTTTTATTGTTGTTGTTGTTGCTTTCTGTTTTTTGTTTGTAATAGGAGGGAGCAACAAAGACAGTAACTGGACAACAAAAACATGATATTGGCATTATTGAACGAGCTCCACAAGATCAAACAAGTAATGACAATTTTATTTTTTATACCAAAATAATAGAAGTGGTAATTTAGTGAATATCTCTGAAAATTTTTCTATGCTTAAATGCTATTATTTAGAAAACAATTTTATAGACTGAAATACAATGTCTACTTAAAAAAATACTTTTTGCTATCTTTTTTCATACTATCAATTCTTTTTTCTGAACCTGCTTCAATCCTGAAACTCTATTTTTGCTATTTTATTTTTGAAATACTCATAAATGAAAATAGATTTGCATATAGTATTATGATTTACAGTAATAAATAATGTTCTCATATATGTGAACTCATTTTCTCATACTGTGAACAACATTTTGTAGATAAGATGCCCATATCTGAATTAGGACAAAAAGAAGATACAAAATCAACTTCAGTTTCTGAGGTACTGTGTGTTGTTGTTATTTTAAAACTTAACTAGTCTTAAAACATAAACAGATGATTTGACTTTATTCTGTCACCTCTGATTGTGTCCATAAGGCGGGCAGATCACGAAGACAGAAAATCGAGACCATCCTGGCTAACACGGTGAAACCCCGTCTCTACTAAAAATACAAAAAAATTAGCCTGGCATGGTGGCGGGCACCTGTAGTCCCAGCTACTCAGGAGGCTGAGGCAGGAGAATGGTGTGAACCCAGGAGTTGGAGCTTGCAGTGAGCCCAGATCACACCACTGCACTCCCGCCTGGGCGACAGAGCGAGACTCCGTCTCAAAAAACAAACAAAGAAAAAAAGAAATTATTTTCGGACATTTATCGGAACATACTTTATAATCATGTGCCAAGTAGATAACAGCTGCATAGTGCAATTCTGCTAATTTGCAGGATTGATTTTGAAGCCAGTGTAGAATAGCGCAAAAGAAAATAAGGCTTAGAAGGCACTAGGAATCTCTTTGAGTTCTGAAGTTAAGTTTGTCTAAAAACTAAATAATTCCTCTGCATTCATTTGTGGGCAAATATATGATTCTGTGTATGTATATCTAGATGTACAAAAGCTCTCATTGGATTCAGGGAGACAGAGTTTAAACTACAGTTTTAGTCTTGCTCAACTTGGAACTTGAAAAGATAATGTCTGGGACTTGAAAGTATTGATATATTTTGATTATCCAGTATAGATCTGAAGGAACATTTCAGAAGTTGGATAAACATGATAAATAGGACACCTGTAAAACTATAATAACAACAATTTGTTTGAGTAGTGTTTTAAAAAGTAGAAATTATTTTCACAAATAGAACTCTTCGAGTCCCTTTGTGGCAGTAATGTTTGCAGCCACATAGATATCAAATAATAATGATGTATTCCAAGACCACAACTGTGGATGTGGAAGAGATAGGAAAGGCTTCACCAGTTAGGTGGAAGCAGCAGCTGCATAATGGTAACAGCAGTGAGTGGATGTCAAAGATAAGTCTGTATTTTGGTTCTGTCACTTACTAGCTATGGGAACTTGGAGAAAAATCAATTAACCTAATCAAATACCAGTAATTTTGTTTATAAAAACCGGGCTCATGTCTACCTCTTAGGTGCATGTCATGAAATAACGTTGTAACAAATGTGAAAACATTTTGTAAACTGAAAAATCTGTATACAAATGTAAGACAAAATGATCAAAGTGACATTTATCGTAAGCAGTATTGTTAGCACAAGAATGGGGAGTAAGAACAGGCATGTGGATTTCTAATTTTGGATAAGGGGTTGGTAACTTTCAGCAGGCTACTACTGCAGATTTTCCATAGAAATATAGTGGTTTGGAAAGTTAGACTTCCCTGATGAGATTTTCAATGTGTTGAACTGGAGTAATTTCTTTGGATCAACTCTGTGCTAGGCAGTGAGTCTCTGAATATCCAAGATGTGGGATTATGCTGTAGTAGTAGGAAGAAAATAAAAAATAAAAAACACTTATAAGTCACTGTAACTTTTTATTTAAAAATATAACAGAGAATGTTTGGTTAGAGAAAATTGAAGAACTTTATAATTAGCACGGGTATGGGAGTGGTAGTGGAATTCTATGGTCAGGGTAGATCTTTCTGTGACTGCCATTTAATCTCCCATCTCAAAGATGAGGAGTATGCCATATGAAAGTCTAGGAGGAAGACATTCTGAACAGAGAGAACGGTGGACCGTATTTGTTCATCATTTTGTTCTTAACAACCTAGAATGACTAGGAAGCAGAAAGTGGGGTAACCACCAACATCATCATCATCCTTATTATTCTAAGGTGAAGAAAAGTCTGCAAATACGTGCCTGGCACATGTTACATGTTTCACGAATACATGTTTTATTTTTCTCTTTTGATGAAGGCTTGCTCTACTTTTCTGAAGTTATGTCTTAAGAATGAATTGCATGCTTTATCTAATGATTGTTTGCTTTCATTTAAAAATAACATAAATATTAGTTTTCCTTATGAATCTTTCCTTTTATTCAAGCAGTTCTTTATCAGCAAAAAAGTTTAAAATTTATTCTTATTACTTTAAGCCCTTGTTTTCTTAAATGAAACAGCTTTTACAGAGTTCTATTCCTACTTCACATAACCCTCTCTGAAAATTATCTTCATGCCATGCATATTTTTTAACCAAAAAATCTGTAATTATGCATATGTCACATGTTTAATCGTGTTGTATTTTGTTTGAAATATTCTATTATTTTTAGTGAGGATTACAGTGTAAGGCAGATACTGTGAAGCAAATTCCTTTTAAAATATGCACATGAATGAATTTTTTTGTGAATATGATTTATTTTCCTTGCTCAGTAACCTAGTCAATAGCCACATGAAAATAAAACATAAGCGTGATCTACAGAGAATATTTGAGGTTTTCTCTTGAAATGTTTTGGTTTTCAGTATGTGAACAGCCTTAAATCTAATTGCTTTTAAAGTTAAAAAATGTTTTATAAAAAAGATTTTTAATAAAAAATATGATGCTTGTCATTATTATTTTTAAATTGAAATTATTTATTGAGGCAGGCTATGGTGTCTCACACCTGTAATCCCAGTATTTTGGGAGGGCAAGGTAGGCGGATCACTTGAAGTCAGGAGTCTGAGACCAGCCTAACCAACATGGTGAAACCCTGTCTCTATTACAAATACAAAAATTTAGCCAGGTGTGGTGGCTCATGCCTGTAGTCCCAGCTACTCGGGACGCTGAGGCAGGAGAATCACTTGGTCTTGGGAACCGGAGTTTGCAGTGAGCCGAGATCATGCCACTGGGCAACCCTGCGAGGCTTCGTCTCAGAAAAATAAAATAAAAAATTAGTAAAAAACGAAATTATTTATTAATATTATCTTTAACAGATTATCTCTTTGAATGATACACAGAATTATGTGTGTTTACCTGAGGCTACATATCAAAAAGAAATAAAGACAATAAATGGCAAAATAGAAGGTAAGAACCATTTTTTATTTAAACATCTTTTGACCAAATGTTTGTCTCAAACCATGAGGACTGGTATGCTCTGACAATCAAAGAAAATTATTTTTTAAATGCGTAGCATGGAAGAACAAAAGGAGTGAAAGTTAAATGTCATCTCAGGTGTTGGCAACAGATTATACTGAGAGTATCAACAAAATAGCTGAATCATTAGTTTAAATTCAGTATACTCTAAGACCCGAGGAAAGGAGTAAAAGAGGGAATGAAGACTGAGGAAGACAGACAGTACAGGGAATACATGAGGGAACAAGAAGCAGGTTTACAAAATGGAGAATGGTAAAATAAAATAATTCTTGAAAGAAAGATAAAGCATGGTTAGAAAGCTGGGAAGAATATAAAGTGACCTTCCATTACCAAAATCTGCCAGAGAATTACAGCAAACATGTTGTCACTCTTGTCTTTCTTACTGGAGGGAAGGCATTAGGGATGGAAGCACTTGACCATGGAGAGTTGTGTTTTATCAGCAATATGTGAATAGAAGTATATTTGCACAGCCATGCATGTATATAATTTGTCATATATACTCAGTATAGATCAGAAGTTTTCACACTTTGGAAAATCAGCTGAATACCTTGTTAACAATGCATGCGGTGATTCAGAAGACTTTGGATTCTGGCATTTTTAATAAGTTCTCAAGTGATGCTGTTGCTGGTGGTCCTTGGACCTCACTCTTAAGTAGCAAGGGAACAGCCTTTCCTTTGGAAAAATCTGGGAGAAGGGCAGTTGGATAGAAGGTCAAGACATAACAGGGTCAAAAGAAAGCGTTATATTTCTTTTATTTCTGAGTATGTTTCTGGCCATAGGGGAAAAAACAGGTAAAGAAATAGTAATTTCAGATGTCAGATACTACCCTAATCAAAGAGAAAGAAAGTGTTGGGAAAATTGATTTTAAAAGATGTTGAATGGGAATAATCAAGACCACAGATGTGGACTAAGAAATTTTGGCTAAGAAAGAGGGATTGTGGGGCATGAAATGGGGCAAGAAAGAAGATAGCCAGGCAACTTTGGAGTTTCTGAAAAGGAAATTTGAATGAATTCACTTCAGATGCATTTACAATATTTGCACTCCAGCAGATTAGATTGTGGGTACTCCAGAGACTACCGGAAGCGGGAGGATTACTAGAATTGGAGTAAACCATGGTGACTCATTAGCTTTCTCTAATACTATCAGGCATAAAATGTTTATATTTTGTTGATATTAGCTATTCAAATGAGAGATATTTGAATCTAAGAGCATTGGCTTTATTTTTAATGAAGCAAATTGTTTTGGTAAAATTGTTATTCTATAAAAATCCATTAGACACTTACCATAATAAACAAAGCAGACTAATTTTTAGAAACAAATTACTGAATTTATTACTTGAATTCTAAAATTGTTTTTTAAGTAAATATTTTCCTGATTTAAACATATAAAATGTTATTTATATGTAATAACTATGTTATCATAAATTTTCAAGTAAACATCAACATTGAAAGCAATATTTTTAATGAGTTTTGTATATATTTTTTGCATTAGTGAATCAAGAAAATTTCTGAGGATAAGCTAGAGGATACAGAAGCAAGAAAATTTCTGAGGCTAAACTAGAGGCATATGATTACACTGTATGGATATGGAAAACAATATTTTATTTAGTATTATCCCCTAAGTAAATATCCAAGCTGATCAATTGGGTACACGTTCAGTGATGAGATGTCAGTTCTTCATTCTGCTCAACTCTCATCATAATGGTGTACCGTCTCAATTGTACGACAAATTAAAGAACATGATGAATGTAATGATATAAATTATTCCAATGTATTTCATTAAATATATGGTGTAGGATTCTATATTCAGCTTTGACATTTATTTTTTCAGGGTCATGATTTGCTCCTCTGATCAAAGGTCATTTCTCTTTTCATCCCTCAGCATATGCGTATTAATATCAACACATTTTGCATGCACAGCACATTCTCACTTTTGAAATATTAAGTACATGTTTGTTGAAGCCTAGATTCCTAGTTTCTTCAGTGTATTTCTGTCATGTGAGTGTCCTAAAGAAACAAATAAAAAGAAAAAGCCCTAAACCTAAAGGAATCATTCTCAAAGCTGAGCACAAGGACTTAGTTAGATAATACCACTGGATTCATTTGTGGTTGGTTTTGTCATATTTACCTATGACTGATAATAAATCTCTTTTGCTTTTTTAGAGTTTCCTGAAAAGCCTTCTGACTTTGAGGTATTGAGTTTTATCATTTTATCTTGAATCATTTATTAACCACATATTTTGTGAAGTATACATTCGTTATTAATAATTTTTCTTCCAAACACATTTAGCCTGCCATTGAAATGCAAAACTCTGTCCCAAATAAAGGCTTAGAATGGAAGAATAAACAAACATTAAGAGCAGGTAAATTTTACAGTTCAAGTGTATTAAAATGAATATTTCAATAGTTGATATATTAATAGTCTCATCTCCCCAATGTTTATTTTTCAAATATTATGGAGATATTTGAGGTAATAATGTCAATAATGGCATCCACATTTGAAAAACTGATTACTTATAAGAATACAAATTTTAATTAGTTTTTGTAAAAGGTAGCTTTAATTTCAGGTGTTTCTACTTTTATGTCCTGATACTGTAATGTTTTGTATTGGGAATGTCTGTATGACTTAAAGATTCAAGAAGATGAATTTTTAAACTCTAATATTTTTTCTGTTCAAAAATTGATTCAAATTCTACCCTTCACTGCAAGGAAAGCTTCACTTTTTGACATGCCAACTGTGTTTTAACATTGGTTACCTCATGGGAATGTAGTCATTTGAAGCATCCTAAGGAAATCAGTTATTCTGATTAGCTTACTCTGTGTGTGTGTGTATGTGTGTTTGTGGTGTGCACGTTTGTGCCTATGTGCATGTGTATGTGTGTTTGTGTGTGGTACCCTTAATTTTTAAAAAATGGGAGAAGTAAGTCCCAGCTACTCAGGAGGCTAAGACAGAAGAATGGCGTGAACCAGGGAGGCAGAGCTTTCAATGAACCAAGATCGCGCCACTGCACTCCACCCTGGGCGACAGAGTGAGACTGCGTCTCAAAAATAAATAAATAAATAAATAAATAAATAAATAAATAAATAAATAAATAATAAATAAATGGGAGAAGTAATCGTTTCCTCATGATTATTTTTGTAAAACTGTGATTCTGAAGCATTTGGCTTTAGTGTCTTTTCATTGTTTAGAGGTAAACAATTGTCTAAACTAGTTTCTTAAAAATTATTATTCCTATGCATGCTTAAACATTATACAACATATGTGCATGGTCATAGATAATGTGTAGAATTTGTTTTCAACTTATTTTTTATTTTATTTTATTTAT